CGACCTTTAGGGGAGCTCTCTGCTCTTCTGTTTTGATGGGCTCTGGCTTGTCAGGCTCCTGTCGTGTCTTCGTCGGTCTCTTGGCGGGCCTTGTCCCAGTGTCGACCGTGTCGCGTCCCTTGGATGCGACATTGAAACACCTTCGAGCAGCGGTCAGGTCCCCCTGGATGGTAGCAACCCGTGCCCTCTTAGTGTAGAACTTCATCTTCAAGTGGACGGTGGAGGGCACCGCGGTCAGCTCTGCTAGTGTTGGTCTTCCCAGGATGCAGTTGTAGAGGGACGGGCAGTCGATGACGAGGAAGCGCACCTTGACCTGCCTCATTTTCATTCCCTCGCCGAAGGTAACCATGAGCTCGACATATTCCTAAGGTTTGGAGGTCGAGCCGTTGAAGCCCTGTAAGTCCGACCCCACATACGGTGAGAGGTGCGAGTCGTCTAGCTGCAGAGTCCGGAATAATTGATTGTACATCACGTCGATGGAACTTCCTTCATCGACGAGGATGCGGTGCACGTCAAAGTTGGCCATTATTGCTCTTATCAGCAGAGGAATGACTGCATTGGGGGCTCCTCTGGGGAGTTCTTCGAGGTAAAAGGTGATAGGCTCCGACCTACCTTTCACCCTTTCAAAGGTCACTGTCTGAGGAGGTGCCGAGTCGACCAGTTCATCCAGCTTTCTCTTGGCCGAATTGATGGTTAGGTCGTTGAATCCTCCACCATTGATGACCATGGTGGAGGGAAAGTATTCCCACCTACTGTGTGTCGTGAGTGGCTCCTGCAAGTGTTCGAGGACGTAGAAGTCCTCCGGTCTGGTGATGGAGAAGGCGGTCTGGACGGGGACCGATTCGTCAGATGGTCGGGCGTCTTCCTCCGGTTCTCTTGTCTCCCGGGCGTCGCGACAAGGCGCGTCATTTCGCCGGTATTGGGCGAGCCTACCTCCCTTGATGAGGGTTTCGATGGCGTCCTTGAGGTGGACGCAGTCTTCAGTTAGATAACCATGGCTCCTATGGTACTGACAGTATTTGCTCTTGTCTACTCCGGGCTTGGCAGGAGCAGGTCGAGGGCGCTTGACGCCGCCATCTTTGAAATCCGTACTGGCACACTCCGCCAAGATGCACTCACGGGAATCTGTGAGCGGAGTGTATTCTGTGAAACGCCCCGAGGGTCCTCTCTGCTCTCGGACTTCTCGGGGTCTGTCCTCTTTCCTTTTCTCCCCGGTCCGTCGAGGAGGAGCGGTTTCTTGGCGCGGGTTGCTGCTGGATCCGCGAGTTCTAGGGTCCCGGGCTCTGTTAGCCGCCTCCCTTTCCTCGTAATCCATATATGCCTGGGCCTTCTCGAGGAGAGCGTCGAATGTTCGGGGTGGTTCGATGCCCACTGCCTTTCTGAATTCTGTTCCGGGGAGGAGCCCCCTCTCCAGCAAGTACCTTTTCATGTGGTCCACGCATGGGACCTGTATGGCTTCGCGATTGAAGCGATTGATAAATTCTCTCAAGGTTTCATCCTGTCTCTAGATGATGGCCTTGAGTGCTGCCTCGGTCTTCGGGTGTCGCCGAGACACAGTAAACGAACTTATGAATTGATTCTTCAGGTTTCGCCACGAGGTGATTGATCTCGGGGCGAGGCCTTTATACCAATCCATTAATGCCTTTCTGAGGTTCGTGGGAAATAACCGACATTTGATGGGTCCCCCGATATTATGGTAATGCAACATAGCCTCGAACCCGTCTATGTGGTCGACTGGGTCCGCGACTCCGTCGTATTCTTTCAGATGTGGAGGCTTCTCCAAGCCCGGGGGAATGGGCGCCTCCATGATGGCTTGTGAAAGGGGACTGCAGGGGTCGTCCTCGTCACTTAGCTCTGGGGATAGGGATGGGGACCTGAGATATTGTCGTGCCTGACGGTCCTGGTCGTGCTGGGTATCCCTCGAGCAGGGTGCTCGTTGGTCCATTCTCACGTGCCTATCTCCAGAGTGTCTTCTTTCTTGCCGTATGGGGCCATGGTTGCGCCCTCCGGCTTCAATGACGGGTTGCCTCTCCAAGGGGGGTCGTCTCCCCGACGGTCGGGGCGACGGGCTTCGGGAGGTGTCTCTGTATTGTCTCCGCGGGGGAGATGGGAGACGTACCTCTGTTACTCGAGGAGGTGGAGTCTGAGGCCTCCTGTGTCTCCTCGCGGGTCTTCTATCGTCTTCTAGCGCCCTCAATCTTTCCCCCTGGGCAAAGATGAGTTAGTTAGTTTGATTGATCGCCGCGAATAGTGCGCGGGTTGTGACATCTGCTTCGGCGGGGACAGGGACTTCCTGAAATTGGGCAGCTAGATAGTTTGGGGGAGCCGTATTGTCTTCTTTGAGTGGCGGAGGGACAGAAGAAGACGAGGCAGTAGCTCTGTCTCAGTGGATCGAGGGCCCGAGGATGGTTCCCCCAGGGAGCGTGCTATGGCCAGGGATGTCGGCGTTGTCGGAAATTCCGTTTTTATCCGCGAGGTTGTTGTTGACGTCGACGACGCGGACGTTCTGGTCGTCCCGAACTTGGTCAGCCATGACGGTTGAAGGTGATTTAAGCTTTGGTATTCGAGAGTTTGCAAGACGGGGAAGCTAGTTTCCCACAGACGGCGCCACTAATCTTGCCTGATCAGACTTGGACCGTCACGACTGGCTCGGGTAGAATTTGAGTGAGATGGGGGTGTACCTTCAAGACACTCTGATGCTAAAATGAGTGACGGAAGGAACATGCAAAAAGTGTATAGATGCGTCAGAGATGAATACCTTACCCTCTAGGAACAGAGGGTATTTATAGCCCCCAGCGCTGGGCCAAGGTTCCCTTATTGGGCCGACCAGAACTGGCCCAATAAAGGAACTGCCAGGTTCTACGTGTGTAGTGGGGCTCTGCACGTGGTCCCCTTCCCGGTGATGCTCTACGAAGAATGAGGAGGGACAAAGACGCGGTCTTTCCAGAGTTTAGATGATTCGATAACGGTCAGAGAGGACCGAATCTGCCATACGGGGAGAGTGCTCGAGCAGGACTCGAGCTGGAATTCCCTTGGTCGGGGACACCATGTGCGCGGGCAATGGCGAGCGTGGTTGTAGTCTGTGGTCGAGCACGTCGGCGGCGATCCGCGGACGCATATTCCTCGAGGAGTTTATTTGGGTTGGGCCTTTACCTGCGCTTTGGGCCAGGGCGGGCCCAGTCCAGAACATAAATCATGATAAAATTCTAGTTCCAACGGTATATAGTTTGTGAATTATCTCGTTGATTTGATGATTTTCGGATTTTTAACTCTCATGAATTCAATAATACAAAAATGGCAAAAATAATGATTTTTAAATGTTTCAAGCAAATGCATACACTATTAGAAGGGAAATTTCACCACGTACCCAATTCTATAATTAATTTTTTTGTAAAACCTCATAACCAAATTGGATCAAGCGTGTTTGTGTTTGAATTTCATTCTACTTTTTTTGTTTGATTTGTCAAATTCATGGCTTGTTTTGCAATTTTGAATACATATTTAAAATCATGGTGAAATTCTAGTTTCAACGATATATAATTTCTGAATTAATTCGTTAATTTTATGATTTACAGATTTTGCAAATTCTAAATCAGTGTACAACTATCGTGAGTCTACTCTAATATATATAACATGCAAGTTTTTGAACATTTTAATTTTAGAGTTTTTTATTTTATAACATTGTAATTAAAATTAAAATCATAAATGTATTGTAAATGATATTTGTGGTTTTTCTGGATAGTTAATTGTTATTTTTTTATGTTTAAATGGATTTGAAATTGTGGGATTTCATGTTGGTATTGCGGTATGAAATTGAGTTGAAGTGATCCGGCTAAAGATTGAAGACGATGATTAAGAATTTTTTTATTATAAAAAATAAAATAAAAATAAACACCGTTAGATTAATCCAAAAAATAAGAATTACACATCCTCATATAACATTTGATCTATTCCCGAATCACATTTTTTAAATTGTCATTTTTACAATTTCACCATAAAAATTCCCTTTAGTTATACGAATTATGAAAAGAGGGTTGAATCCAACCAAAAAGTATATGTATCGTTCACCTTTCGTCTATATATGGTAATTCAATCACTAATCAAGCAACGTTGAGAAAATAATATGAACATTAACTCCAAGTGATAAGTGTAGGACAACTAATGCAATAAGGGTCGTGTATGTCATCATTGTCCTATTATTTTGAATTATGACAAATCATTTATGGGGTCTCAAACCCTTTAGCAATAATCATTGCTTGATCCATAATAGTCTAAATAGTAGTCTACATGAGTTAGTGATTTCCTTATGGTGTAACAGTCAGTTTTATGGTTGGAAAACTTTCGTTAGGATGGAAAAGCTTAAAACCCTTAAAAGTGATTTTTAAATGTTGAAATAGAAAGGTTTTTGGCAATTTTAGGTGAATTCTTTGGCCGATTTTATTGCCTTGTTCATTAGAGTGATTGTGACTAGATCTAAAGCGATTGCGGATTTGTGGTCCCTTCTTAGGATAAGACTCTCAATTGTTTTAAAGATCTAGATAGCTCAAAAAAAGTTGATATTAATTCAGGTTACTTCCATGCTTCTGTTAAGAGCATAGGCAGAAGTAATACTATCTTAGCGCTTAAAGTTGGAGAGATTTGAATTGATGGGGTGTCTGATATTAGATGTGAGGTAGTGAACTCATTCAATTGAAGGAGAGCATGCGACCTCTACTTATCAACCGACATTCATTTGTGAAGAAATTTTACAAAGGCGCCTTTCTTTTTATTTTTGGTACCAATAATTTTCAACCAATTGTACTGTAACCCTTAATTCCAAGTTGTAATTTTCCCCACATCTCTTCATTTCAATCCACGGCCTGGAACTAGAAACCCTAAATCACATTTCTTTTCCCAAACCCTCTCCTTCTAGAGAAAAGTTGAACCAAATCTCTCCAACCTCTTAGTTTTCTCATCACCTTTGAATAAGAAATCCAGTGATTCCATCTTGTTGTATAGTTATGGGCACCGATTCCTCTTTCACAAGGTAATGCCTCTCTTATTAGCTTATTATTCCCTTGTATTAATTGTTTTTCCCAAATTTCCTTTGCGACTTATTGGTACCCATTTGTAACTTTTTACCTGCCACCTTTTGAAAAATTATGTACCATTTTGCTACACTGTGAAATTAATTTACCAATGTGCCACACTTTTATTACTCTCTGGTCTAATGGATGGATGAGTGCATGAGAAAAAAATTTCCCCTTCAAGGCCTCGCCCAATGGATGATCGAATGGATGAAGCAAAAACATTCCATGTAGGCTCTCGCCCAATGGATGGGCGAGAGGGTGAAGGGTGTTTTTTTTATTTTTTAAATGTTATTATTAGTTTTTATATTCTAAATTAATTACTTCATCCACTCGTCCATCCATTGGGGGAGGCTTTGAAGGGGAAATTTTTTTCCATGCACTCCTTCATCCATTGGGTGAGAGAGTGATAAAAGTGTGGCACATTCGTAAATTAATTTCAGACTATGGTAAAATGTATTGGAATTCAGTCACCGAGTGTATATTTTTCATCATCCTTTTTGTTACAAGTGTCTCTTACATATATAGTGAGTCAGTTGCATTACCTTAACTGACTCTAATTTTTCCATTATACTATATTTACATATTTCTACTCTATTACTCCCCCACAAACTTAAGGGGGGTTTGAGACAAATCACTTTGAGTTAGCCACAGAGAAGTTGGAAGATTGTCGTCCCAAGCGGTTTTGTCAAGGTGTTCGCAATATGTGCATGAGTAGGTATGTGTTTCACCTGCAGTTGACGTGCTACAATGCGCTCCCTAACAAAATGAATTCCAAGCTCAACATGTTCGGTGCGAGCATGAAGCACGAGATTATGTAAAAGGAGAACAACACTAACATTATCACAGAGTAAAGTCGGAGGACGAAACGAGACATGTAACTCTGTTAAGAGGGATTCAATCCATAATAGCTCTGAGGTAGAATGAGCTAAACCGCGATATTCTACCTCTATGCTCGATCGGGCTACAAGAGGATGCTTTTTCGAGCTCCATGCAACAAGGTTAGGGCCAAGGAAGACACAAGAGCCCGAGGTGGAACGCCTGTCATCTGAATCGCTTTCCCAGTCCAAATCTTTCTAAGCACGGAGAGTAAGCTTGTGATCCATAGAGGCAAGTGTAAGGAGGAGTCCATGGGAAGCAGTTCCACTAAGATACTGCAGGATGCGTTTTACGCCAAGCCAGTGACTGTCAAGGAGTACATACATAAATTGGAAAGCTTTATTAACAAAAAATTAAATATTTGGCCTAGTTAAGGTGACATACTGCAAGGATCCAACAATAGATCTATACAGGCTTGGATATTTAAATATACCAGTCCCATCTCTATTAAGTTTACAAGTTCTCAGCATAGGAGTATGCACTCCTTTTGTAGTTGGCATGTGGGCTTTAATAAGGAGATCATGAACATGCTTGGACTGATTGAGTAATAAGGACCCATTTGGTTGATACAAGACTTCAATGCCTAGGAAGTAAGCTGATTTTCCTAAGTGTTTTAAAGTAAACTTATCATGTAGCTTTTGTATGAGATCATGAACAAATTTGGAAGAAGAGCTAGTCTGCAAAATATCGTCTACATAGACTAGGGCATACATGTGAACACCCTAAGAAGAATAGATGAGGAGGGAATGATCACACCTACTGCGATTAAAACCAAACTGAAGAAGAGCTTGAGCAAGTTTTTCATACCAAGCTCGAGGGGCCTGTTTTAACCCATACAGAGCTTTGTTGAGTTTACAAACTAAGGTTTTATCAGTAGAAATAAACCCTGAAGGTTGTTGCAAGAAGACTTCTTCTTGTAAGTCTCCAGTGAGGAAGGCATTATTGATGTCGATTTATTGGAGTTCCCATTTATGGGTGATGGCAAGAGTAAGAAGAATTTTGATGGTAGTGGGTTTAACCACGTGGGAGAAGGTTTCACTATAGTCAAAGCCTTGTTGTTGAAGGTAGCTTTTAGCCACCAACCTTGCTTTGAGTTTGTTGAGACTGCCATCTACATTTTCCTTAACTTTAAATACCCATTTACAACCTACAACCTTTCTATGAGGAGGAAGAGTAGTTAGATTCCAAGTGTTGTTAGAAAGGAGAGACTTGTATCCATTTTCCATAGCAGCTAGCCATTGAGGATTAGAAAGAGCCTCTTTAACAGAAGAGGGCTCAATGTGAGCTACAAAGGCTTTGGTTTTAGAGTGACCTATTTTTCCTCTTTTTAACATAGGATGATTGTTTGTGACAGTAGGGAGAGGGGGGTTTTGACTATGCAAGGAGAGATATTAGGAAGACTCAGCAGATATAACTTATGTGGGATCAAAGGGCGATAAAGACATTATACATGAGGTACTATCCACTGGTTTAAAGGGGGAAGCAGTAGGATGTGACTGCTGAGAAGGGGGGTTGCACCCTATGGACTATTGTAGGGTACATTGCTGTCATTATGTATAATCATGTCATCATTTATAGGTACAACTGTGTCTGAAGGGTGAGGACAAAATGGTACAGGAATACTGTTTTCACCAGAGGAATTAATGAGTTCAGTGCCAGCTGGCCGATGTTTACAACTAGGTGTTACTGGCAAGTCAGATGGGGGATGTTGGACATATTGGCTTTTGAAGATGGACTAGGTCCTGTTAGGACTAAGTGGCTGGATGTTGTAGGTAAGACTGGCTGTGATTCAGATGTAAACATAGTGGAATAAGGAAAAGAATTCTCATCAAAGATTACATCTTTGGACACAAAAATTCAGCCATCTGAGTTGAGGCATTTATACCCTTTGTGTTGGGGAGAAACTCCTAATAATACACATTTTGAACTTCTGAGTTGGAGTTTATTTTGGTTGTAAGGCTGAAGATGAGGGAAACAGGCACAACCAAAACTCTTTAGGGACTTATACTCAGGAAGAGTTTTGTGAAGGGCAAGAAATGGGGAAGAGAAGTTCTTAAGAGCTTTAGTAGGTAATCTGTTAATCAAATACATAACTGTAGTGAAGTTGTGATCTCATAAATTGAGAGGGATGAAGGCATGAGCTAGTAAAGTTAACCCCATTTCAACAATGTGTTTGTGCTTCCTTTCCACAGTCCCATTTTGATGGAAGGTGTATGAGCATGTTAGTCTATGTGTAATACCTAACTCAGTTAGGTAGTTTGTGAAAGGTCTGTATTCTCCCCCATAGTCAGATTGTACAGACTGTATGTTAGCATGGTACTGAGTTTTAACATGAGCATGAAATACCTTAAATTCCATAAGAGAGTCAGCCTTACTATGCTAAAAATAAATCCATGTGTATTTAGTGAATGTGTCCACAAATGCAATGTAATATCTATAACCACCAGTAGATGGTTTTGGAGATGGTCCCCACAAATCCGTGTGAATTACTTCAAAAGGTTTATAATAAACTGTGTGTGAGATATGTGCAAAAATTTTGTGCGACTTTCCAATACAACAGGAATTGCAGAAATCAATTGATCCTTTAGAAGGGACTGAAATGTTACAAGCATGTAAAACAGACCTAGCCTCCTCAGTATGGGCATGGCCAAGTAGACAGTTCCACATAGACAGAGGAGAACTTGTACCGGTTGTGCTTTGGACAACATTATTCACCATTGCATAGAGAGGCTAATGACCATATGGGGCCTGAGATTTTGATAGAGTTGCCTTTAGGGGAGAAAATATGTACAAGCCACGGGAGTCACGAGTACCTTCGAGAAGTACAACCTTAGATACCTGGGATTTAATATAGCATCAATTAGGGTGGAATTCAAAGAAAGCATTGTTATCCCTAGAGAATCGAGAGACAGATATCTGGTTCTTTTTAATTTAAAGGACAAGAAGAATATCACTAAATATCAGTGTGGTGTGTGGCATTAGTGTGGAATAAAACTGAGCAGAACCAATAACATGGATATCTAGGGCCTGTCCATTTCCTATGCACACTTTATTCAAGCCATTATAGGAGTTATTGGACTGTAGAAGATCAGAGTAAGATGTGAGATGATGTGAAGCACCTGAGTCAGTGACCCACGCATGAGCATCAAGTTCTGATGGCACATTCAGCTCCTGAGTCTCTCTATAGGCGTAATGGGTGGCCATTAGTGCGGTAGCATCCTGTGAATTATCAGTTTGATAGGTGGAGGCAGCTTGATCTGCATTAGTTCCTTGTGCTATTTGTTAAGGGTTCTTAGATGGAACAAACCCTTCATCAAACTGATGCAAGCAGTCTAGTGCAACATGACCATACTTGCCACAAAGTTGGCAAGTTGGCCTATTCCCAGAGATAGACGAGTTTCCATGGCCCTTGATTTGTCCACGAGGTGTATACCCTCGACCTCTGGTATGAGGGTTCCCTCTATTCATCGATGCAGATTGTTTGGAATTGGAAACCGCCAGATTTGCAAAAACAATTGATAAGTTCTTATCTAAACTTATCTAGTTGCGCCTCCTGAACATATAGTAATGCTTCAACATCATAAAGATCAAGATCAATGGATTTACCATATATTTGCATGACAAATGGGTTGTATTCTTCAGGAAGACTATCCAAGATAGCATTAATTTATGCCTCTTCTTTGACGACATCACCTACAACAAGTAGAGAATATGCAATTGACTTGATTTTGAGGACATATTCAGACACGTTTTGATTCGCCTTCTTCGCATTCTTGAGTTCAGAGTGAAATTGACAAACCTTAGCCTTCATCATCGCATTGAAGTGCTTGTGAGCTCTGTCCAAAACTTCAAACAAGTGTTTGCACGAGAGAACTCGAGGAAGGACTGATTCAGAGATGATGCAAAGAAGCCAGATAAAAAAAGCTTGATCTTGTATGATCCAAGCTTTGTACTTGTCAGAGGTGACACCATTTTGATGATCAATATCCGAATTGAACTTTTTGGGGATTTGAGTAATCACCACGAATTGATGCAATCTGTTGGTGAGAATAACACCTTCGACCTGTTGATTCCAGAGAAGGAATTTGTTGTCATTGAGCTTGATGGACAATTTGGGTCCAAAGGCATTGCCGCTGGAGGAATTTGAGCGGGTGGATAGTGAATTTAGGGTTTTTAAGGTTCAAGGAGAGATTGGTGTGGCTGAATGCGGTGGCAACGATGGATTCATGTTGCTGTTGATTCTTCCTGAATTGATTGAGGCGTCGAAGATTACCGAAGACGATGAGTAATCGTGCAAAGCTTCTCTAAAGCTTGAAGCAGATGACTGAATCACCACCGTAGAAGCTTCTCTGAAGCTTTCTTAATGGTGGATGATGGCTTCTCTGAAGCGATCTTGAGGACGATGAGAAACTTCTTGGAAGCTCTATGGATGAAAAGAAATGTGAGGCTTCTCTGAAGCGTTTTCCTTGAGTTTCTTGATTTGGGGGCGGAAGGTGGAGAGATGGATAATGAAGTGAGTGATATTGTAACGCCCGTTAATTTAATTAATTATTTAATTAAATATTTTTTAATTATTCATTGAAGTTGCGAGATGTTGGGAATTATTGGCATAAGTTGCTAGAGTATTACTAGTTAACTAATTAGTTGATTAATAATAGTAATAATACTAGAATTAGTAGAATAATAGAATTTTTATGTTAGGCCTATTTTAATTGTTAGAGGTATAGATATGGGGTGTTGTTAAGTCCACTAAGAATAATAATATTGTGAGCTTATATTTAAATAAATAATATAGTTAATTGAGAAGTTGCAGACAAGAGGAATAAGGAGAAAAGACAAAGCAAGGTGTTCGGTCGGAGAGTATAGAGCGACATTCAATCCAAGGTAAGGATGGGGTTCTGACTCTATAATGGAGATTATTATTAATATTATGTAGGGATTTGGTCGTGAGTATAACTGTTGTGCGTTTGATTTTTCTGGATCTATTCTTGAAATTTGCTCGTTTTCATGTTGTGGTCGTTTAGGAATTTTCTGCATAACTGTCTTGTACAATTGATGAATGTGTTAAGTGGAATACCACATATTGATATAGTTGCCATGTTTCTATGTTATTATGTGCGGTTGGTCGGAAATTAGTGGTCAAAGAGGACACTGAAAGACTGGGCTAACGTTCGTCACAGACTGTATGAAGTATGTGCAAAAGTGTTGAAAACACGTCGCGCCGAGGAGCTTAGGTGCTAAGTGTCGAGTGACATAAGGCTGCAAGGTGCACCGAGGAGCACATGAAGTACTTGTGTCGAGTGGCATAAGACTGCGAGATGTGTCGAGGGGCATAGTGTGAGCCGATCGGCATATAGGAATAAAAAGGAAGTGTCGAGCGCTATGGCCTTCGTGCCGAAGGGCACAGGTCGTTAGTAATTCTCTTTTGTTGTTCCTGTGCACGTTGAGGAGCACATATTCTTTCTTTTCTTAACGCTCCTGTGTATGCTAATTGACTAACCATTTTTGTTTAACATTCTCAGTATAATAATTAGAGTTCTTAAGGTATCCTATCCCTAAAGGATTAATGGATTACTAGTAAATATAAGTTAGTAGCAGGAGAGATAATATAATTAAAAATTGAGTAGCAGTAAACTGTATGAAATTGGAGATAGTAGTACAAAATCGAAAACATTAGTATTTTTAGCAGAAAATTACTTAGTCGGATATAGTTGAATTGTCCGAATAATTACGCAGGACGTCGTAGTATGTTTTGGTTGATCGATGTATTGTATACTTTGTTATAATTGAGAATTTGCAGGCGATGATGAATTTTGTTGGAATGCCCCTAATTATTGGCAGCTATTAAGTTGTAGGCCTATGGTCAATGTCGAATTATGTTGAGTTGTTGTTGAATTGTTGTTGCTGTTACTACATTCATACTGTTGTCAAATACATAACATATCAAGTTGGGAGCTTATGCTCGGCAGATTGGCCTGGATTGACAAATGTTAAGTTGAAGGTTTATGCCTTGTTAATGCTTTTATTAATTGACAGATTATTAAGTTGGGAATTCTGCTCCGTTGGTACCACATGCAAGAAAATAGGGATAAGAAGAGTTTATAGATGATGCTTTAATGAAATTGGTGAATTTATAAATGATGCTTTAGTAATTGGTCACTTAATCATTTGTTAGTTCCGAGTCAAGAGTAATATGAAAAATTGATTAACTTGATTCTAGGTGCAATCGTTATTCAATAGCCTACAACTAGTTCTAATCAAAGGTCAACTCTTCATTCATCTCAGTATGTCCATACACTAGATGGAAAGCGTATCACATGTTACATGTTCATTTCTTAATCATTCAACGACCTTTCATTTAGATCTTGGATTCCTCTCGTAGATATTTTGCTTGTTATGCTGAAATTAAACCTATTAGTATGAAGCTACCAAATGCAAATTTCTCTGTTGCTAAATGTTAAGGAATAGTTACTTTATTACCTTGGTTCTACCCTTACATTATTGTACATACCTGCATTTTTCATTAGCTTGCATTTAGTGCAAAAACATGTATTCATTTTTGATTATCTGAATTGAAATGATATTTTTTTTGGGCAGGTTTGATTTGATTTACTTATTACTTGACAAGGTTGATGAACAGACTGATAGACGACTTGCCAAACAGATTGTTTCCCTACACTTTAAGGATCATGAGGTTTGATTAAATCTTGCAAGCATACTCATTGAAGATCCAAACATGATTTCTTTTGTATACTCACTTAGATGTTATGTGGCCATACTTGCAAACCATGGAGCAGGATGTGTTGGATATTTCTACACTAACTAATTACATTAGCTATGCCCGAAAGCATATACATCCACACCTGTCATGCTGATGAATTGATTACTGGTTATGTAAAAATCAGGGGTAGAGGAAAATTTATTAAATACAGCTAAGGAATGCAGTTTCCACTCTTGCAAGCGAATGCTTTCTTTCCATGGTCGGTGAATGTGTAAAAAAAAACTTGATTCTATGAGGCACACTAAAGCAAATAACGTATTTTATGACGGAGCTTTCACGTCATTCAAAAAAACAATGAGGTATTAAGTCTAGGCGTGTTATGTATTATATTTTTTTAATGGGAAAAGTATTAACCTACCTCAGCTTCTAATAAATCCGACGGGTAAAATTATTCTGGATGCGCTTCGAATCTTAACTTTTGTAGTTTATGTTTTATTTTGATTATAATTGTAAGTTAAATTAACTAACCCTTCGATGTTTCGATATAACCGATGGGTCTACTATTCAGATTACACCATAAATAACAAACAAATTTTACCTTAATCCTTACTTATTTGTAGCCGTCACGAACTCGAAATTGCATCATTCTTTGGGATGGATTAAAAACCTTCAATGTTCTTATAGAACAAAACGTTTTTTTGTCCTTGCAATCTATCTCACATAATGGTGTTGATGTTGTTGTTGGTGTTGATGTCGTTTTTGGTGTTGTTGTATTTTCGCTCATTTGATAAGTTACAAGTGTAAAAAACTCATTCTCCCTTCAAGGAGACAATGAAGGGAGTTAAGCTCTCTTCTCTTTTCAAAAGTTACGCAAAGAAGAGAATTTAACTAATTGGATGATGGATATCAGCGAAGATATTCATTCAAAGGAGCAAAAATTTATTTTTAAACTATTTATTTTAATATTTTGTGTAAACAATATAAGTTAAAAAAAATACATTTTACCTCAGTTTTTTAAAAAGAACGAGGTGATAGATAAAATCAGAAGATAATATACCTCGATTTTAAGATAAATCCGAGGGGTAAAGTAATCATCTTTTATTATAAATATCTTAGTTTATCAGATTTTACCCTAATTCTAACTTATATGTAGCCACACCGGATACATAAAATATTTACTACTGTTCGTTGCCATGAAATTTTTTGATCTAGAAACACTCAAGAACATATCTCTGAGATGGATTGCAAGTGCAAAATTTAAAATAACTTATCCATCTGGAGTGTTTTTTGGATATGCAACATAAAGGTATGCAACAAAATTTGGATTCCACCAAAGATTTGTTGTTGAAAACACATTTTTCTATGATTTTGTCTACTTGCCGATAGATTTCAGGTATGTTACCAAATTCCTTCTCTAGAACATTCAATGTTCATACGTTGAAAATAATGATGATTGTTGATGTTGTGTGGTTTACATGTTGTGTGGTTTACTATTAATTTGTAGAACTAGGCTGAATAAAGGCTATGTTTTTGTTAAATTCAGTCAACCTAAAGTAGTAGTGAGAATTTGTTGTAATATTGTTTTTCTGATATTCTTTGTAAACAATGTAATAAAAAAATTTTTCCACCCCAGCTTTTCTCAAAATCGAGGGGATATTTTAGCATTAAAGTTGATGATATTTGTCATCGCCCTTAATTAAATCTTTGCCATTCATTTCATGATTATCAACGCTCGAGACACTACCATTAGTGATCCATGTAAAATCTCTGTTAACTTCCCATATAAAAGCATTCTGAATATCAAAAATTGATAATAAAATATCATGAAGCCCTTGAAACTATCCTCCACTTTAAGATATGCAATAATCTTTGTTATGAAGTATTCTCTATGATGGATTGCAAGAGCAGAAAATTATTTGCGGTTAATGTTTGTGTATTTAAATATTTATTTATCTAACCATTTTTTATCTAACCCTTTATTTATCAAATCTTTTTGTGGTTGTTAATATCAGAAATAAATGCAAGGAAAAGCAATTGAGAATATATTATTTCCCAACATTTGATCTTTCCAGGATATCAAGGATTTGAAGATCCAACATATGATTTTCATGGAAAACTTAAATTTTGTATTGATATTCTGTGTAAACAATGTAATCAATTTAATATTCTGGGTAAACATTGTATTTTGTAAATAAATTATTTTATTAATTTTCTGTGCAAATAATGTAACCAGTTTAAATTTAAAAATATTAATAATTTACCCCTTGATTTTATTGATAAACCGAGATACTTGAGGCACTATTATTGCAAATAATAAAAATACAGGCGATGTGGATTGAATCCACACGCTACTAAAATACCCCTCAGTGTTTTAAACACTGAGGTGATAAGGGTAACACTCGTTAACTTAATTAATTATTTAATTAAATTATTTTTGGATTATTGGGTGAAATTGCGAGATGTTGAGAATTATTGGTAAAAGTTATTGGATTATTATTAATTAATTAATTAGTTGATTAATAATAATTTTAATGTTGGACTTATGTAATTGGTTGGAAGTAGTAAAGTGGGGGTGTAGGTTAGGCCCAATTGAATTTATTTGGACTAATAGAATAATATTATGTTATTATTAGAAATAAGAGAGGAAGAGAAGTTAGTTATCAGTAAGAAGAGGAAGATAGGGTTTTTGGAGAAGAAGAGGGATACGTGAAATTGAACCAAGAGGCCAAGAGGAGATTTAATCGGATACCTATAGAGTTGCCTTCAAACCAAACCAGGTAAGAGTGGGGTTCTGACTCTCTAATAAGTGGTATAATGGTAGGGATGTAATGATATGCATGTTAGGTTTTGGTGTAGATTGTTTGATTTAATCCGTTGAAATTGACTATAATCGATGAATTGATGCTTTGAATTGTGTGGTAATTGATGTATGTTGATAGAAATGGTAACTGGATGTTTGATTGTGTATTATTTCATGAAGATTGTGTCTTTGGAATTGAAACAAATGGGTTTTCGTACTGCACTTTACAGAATTCGTAAAACTGTTTTTCACAGGGTGTAATCGATTGCAGCAGAAGAGCGATCAATTGCATTGCTTAAAAAAATTGGGATTTTTGCTTCTCTTTTAGTAAGCAATCAATTGTAGCAGGAGAGCAATCGATTTCACTACTTAAAAACGTGATTTTGGCCTCTGGAACAGGGTGCAATCGATTGCTCTGTTAGTGCAATTGATTGCTCACTGTTTGACAGTATTTTTGAAAACTTGAAAACTCCATAACTTTTGAACCGTAACTCCGTTTAATGCGCCATTCAAAGCGTTGGAAAGCTAATGCGATGAAATATATTTGTAAGGAGTAAAATGAAGGATAAGAAGGATAATTATAGTACCTAAGTTAGGATAGAGTTATCTTTCCTGCGTTGGATCGCCATGATGTTTTATGGTGATGTAGTATGATGATGACATGACGATCTTATGATAATGCTTGGTTCATAATAATAATATCAATGATAATGATTATGTAGTATTATAGTATAACAATTTGTAGAAGTTTTGTAATTAGAAATAAGCATTTAGATAAGTAATTAACCTGTATTGTCGAGAATTGTCCGAATAATTATGGGCAATATTATGTTGTAGGACTATGGCCAATATCGAATGGTTGTTGACATGTTGTTGTGTTATTGTTGTTGTGACGTATTAAGTTTTAGGCTTATGAAAATGTTGCGCTAATTGTTGTTGTTGAAATATCAAGTTCTAGGCTTATGGCCAATGTTGAATTATTATTAAGTTGTTAGGCTTATGGCCAATGTTGATTTATGTTGAGATGTTGTGTTATTGTGATTGTCTCTGTGAACTCTTGTTGATAATGCGAAGTTGTAGAGAATTTTAAATGATGATTAATTACCTCTATTTACTGGTAATAATGGTGATGTGGGCTTATGCCTTGCGATGGATGATGATTGTTGTGAGTATGTGATGGTGCATTCATTGAGTTACATATATTTGCATACTCTGTGATGGCCTGGATTGGTAAACTGTGAAGAAGGGTTATTCCTTGTTGATACCTCTATTTATTGGGAGATTTTTAAGATGGGAGTTCTGCTCCAATGGTACCACATGCATGTGCATTGTAATTGAGTCACAGTTGATGTTGCATCTTGAGTTGTGGGGATGATATATTTGTAGTTGCTTTATGTTTTTGACTTGTTGTGACAAGTATTATCTAAAAGCTATGAATTATTAGTTATGTCGTGTTGATGTTTTGTTGTGATTAAAGTTATTTGTAAGTTGTGAAGTGGTGATTTTATATGATCTGATTTAATATATTGTTTATCACACGACTTATTATATTGTCTGATATCTCACCCCTTTTGTTTGAATGTTTCCCTCTGTTGGTAACGTACAGGTAATCAAGAAGGATAGTTGTTACCTCGTTAGTTCGAGTCGGTGTCGTTGCTCTGATACGTAGCACTTGGGGGGATGAACGTTTGATGTTTAGTTGTTGATTATTATTTCAGTTGCTGAATTTTTAAGTTGATTACATGAAATAATTGTTGTCTTGAGATTGTTTTAGTTGAATAAAAGATGTTAAGTGAATTGAAGTTGAGTATGTAGATTTCGCTGCTTATCAATAAAAAATTGTTTGATTTTGAAGAATAAATCAGGTTGTTATCGGTTCATTTGAGTTAAGTGTTATGTATCTGTTTGTATGCGATTAAATGAAGTTTGATTTTAAGTTGTAAACGTAGCATCCTATTTATGTTGAACTCTGATTTTTAATATTATTTTCCATGTAGAAATGAAGTGTTACAATAAGTCTTTACTTTTCATGATGACCTTATTTACCTCGCTTCAGATGTCGAGGTTAAACGCATTTCACGTCCGACATTAGATGCATTATTTGTAGTAGTGGCATGATCATCATTGAGTTTATCAGATTGTTTGATACTACTTCTAACTAGTCTCATGTATTAACTGTAACCATTTTAACTATCAATTCTTTACCCGATTTCGGTGTTAATACATATACACATTATATACAGTAAATTACTAATGTATCCCTTGATGGATTATTTTAGTGGTTTTTAAATATATGTCATTGTTTATATATATATATATATATATATATATATATATATATATATATATATATA